CGATCACCGCGGGTTCACGCTTAGCGAGCCACAGGGCCGCTACTCCGTTTACTCGCGTGTAGCACACCGCTCCGCGCGCGCTCAACTGATAAGGCGTTTAGCGCGGCGCGGCAAATAGACAGTGTTCTAATGTAAAAGTACACAACACTTTATTGCCCTTGGCGGCACCCCTAACAACAGTACAACCTCCTTTCCCGGGAAGCGGAGAGCAAAGGCACCCGCACGCGGACGTTCACAATAAGGGGAAAACCGCGAGCACGTCGCAGCTGGCAATGGCGAGCTTTGACACGCCGGTCGGGAAAAGGTCCCTCGCGGCTATGCTGCGCACTCTCACGATGGCCACTGGGCCTTGTCGCGAGGGTTAGGGCAAACCTCGTACGCGTAGGCCTACGGCAAGTGCGGCTCGTTGTGGTACGACCACTTCAAGCACTAGGCACCGCTCTGGGCTTAGCGTACGCTCCGAAGCTAGCACTCAAGTAAACACGCCTGCCGGGGTGCCCAAGGTCACCCCAGGCAGGCTACCGTCCGCTATTCCCAAAGGGGACGCGGACGAAGGAAAACACGTGCTTACCCGGCGCTGTCCACGGAACAAGAGACCGCTCCATCGGCGCGCGCGTCCACCTGCTAGCTCGTCGCTTCAGGGCGAAAGAGACCTGGGTCTACATATATGAACTTCTTAAGCTGCTTATAGCAGCTTTTATCTTGGCCTCTGCCACAGAGTGACCATGTTTACAAAGAAAAAAAAATGAATAAAGAAACAAACGAACAAGTTGCATGAAGCAGAGTCGTTATTGCGGTCATCGCTGTTGCAGCCCAGCTTGAAGCAAGTCGGCGTACCTCACTGTGGAAAAATCGGCTCCTCCTCGACATGCTTCATACATGACAAGCGCATTTTCGTACAAAACACTACACCGTGTCAAGAGCAGCTTGTTAAGGGGGACGCGGCCCTTGAAAACCGAAAAATCGCGAAAAAGTCGGTTTTTGAAAAACCACATTTTTGGGTTGTATGTCTCATAAACTACCTATTCTGTAATTATCAGCACCTAATTCAACCGCAAAGTGCAAGAAAAATACTATTTTCGAGGCCGCCGCGGCGTCCAAAACAGGCGCAAATCCCGAAATCAAACCAAACTTCGCGCGCGCGCCATTCCCGGACCATGCGGTCGTCCCGCGCCATCTTGGTGTTGTTTTGACCGTGAATTCTTTTTCTCTCGTTCGCCGCCTTGCAAAATGGCGTCGGCAGCACAGTTGAGACGCTATTGGCGTTTTCCCGCGATGTGATGCGGAGCGCTGATTGGCTAGAGCAGCGCATTCATATCTCGCGGGAGAAAGCGTGCCCGCCATTGGCTGCTGTGCAGCAGCGGGGGCGGTCGCTCCTCTCGATGGTGCGTCCAGCGCGCTCACTTCGTTGTTGCTCTCTGCTCCGTCCGCCTCGACAGACGTCTGCTTATGAGCCGCTCTTCGACTTGTGCTATCTTTTCGATCATTTTCTCTCGTTTTTTTTTTTTATTTTTGCACTAGTTCTGTGCCTTTCGTCTTTGTTGTTGCGAGCGATGCCGGCAACGAAGCCGAAGTCAGTGCGGAAGTCCGGTGCGCGGAAGTCCGGTGCGCGGAGGCGCGCTATGCGGCTTGTACGATCATCGAAATTCCGCTATTCTGCTGCGGGTGCCGACTGCGTAGACGCTTGCAGCGACGGAACTGTGTTGTCGGCTGTCGCCAGTCGAGAATCCGACACATCGAGTGTGGCTGGAGCCGCAAATGCACCGAGTGTTTCCGAGATCGCCGGGCTCGACACATGCTCCGAATCGATGCCATCCAGTGTGACACCGAGTGCTTCTGATATCGCCGGACCCAGCACTTCGTCTGAATCGGTGCCATCGAGCGTGACACCGAGTGCTCCTGATATCGCCGGACCCAGCACTTCGTCTGAATCGGTGCCGCCATCGAGCGTCAGTGGACCGTCGCTTCATTTCCGGACGCGTTTCCTAACGAAGGAAGAAATCGATGCGAATGCGAAACGTCGTGACGCCGTTGCGCTGAACTCGAGTCTACGCCGGCGACGCAGAAAAAATTTCAACTGATGCAGCCGGCTCTTGCACCTGCAGTGACAAGTGAGGGCGAACATTTTTCGCTCATTCAAATGAACATCTTTAACGTCGTGCTCAGCCGCACAGTGTGCAAAGAATGTTTGAAAGGTGCTATGACTGTCCGAGAGAGCACCAAGCTTGGACTTGCAACAAAACTTGAAGTCGTATGCGCCTCTTGTGGCACCGTCGATAAATTATGGACATCACCCCGCAAAAAGGACACGCAGGCCTTCGATGTAAATGTCCGCGCCATAATGGCTATAAAGCAAATAGGCAAGGGGCAAACAGCTCTTAATGACTTTTGGGCCGCCATGAACGTCTCTTACAGAGGTCTTCACCACAAGACGTTTCAAAAGCACTTGAAAGAGACGTTCAGGAAGCCAGAGGCCACCGCTTTGGAGAAGTTTTATGCTGATTCTGCCACAGCAGTGATGAAAACATATAAAGAAATGGACCCCAGCTTCTGCAAGGACATCACCGTAGTGTACGATGGCACATGGCATAAGCGGGGTCACACATCACACATCGGAGTGGGATCGGTAATTGACTTCTTTACAGGTCTCATCTTGGATGCTGTAGTTCTTTCAAACCACTGCCTTGGATGCCAAACAGGGCCCAAACCTGGAGATGCAGCATACGAAAGCTGGCAGAAGCACCACATTTGCCAGAAAAACACAGACGCTAAATCGGGAAGCATGGAAGTGGAGGCAGGCTTGACTCTTTTTGGGCGGTTTGTATCCAAGCATGGCCTGCGGTACACCACTCTTGTGTCCGACGGAGACAACCGTACCTTCGCTGCCCTGACAGAAGAGAATGTGTACGGGCTAGTGCCAATTGTAAAAGAAGAATGTCTGAACCATGTTCAGAAAAGGATTGGAAGTGCTCTTCGAAACATTGTGCAGAAAAGTGATAAGCCACTGAGTGGGAAGGGGAAGCTGACTAAAGCCCTCATTGAAAAGCTGACAGGATATTATGGTTGGGCCCTGAGAAACAATTCAACTGACCTAACAGGCATGCAGCGTGCAGTGATGGCAACATATCACCACGTCACATCGACTGACCAGGACCCTCACCATGAACTTTGCCCAGAGGGGGCTCAATCGTGGTGCCACCATAGAGCTGCAGAGGCAAAGCGTGAGCCACAGCCAAAACATAAACACAGCCTACCGTACTATGTCGCTGCAGCTATGCTGCCCATCTACGAAAGACTGTCACAAAAGTCGCTTCTTCAGCGCTGCCTGGGAGCGAAGACGCAAGATGCATCAGAATCATTCCACTCCATTCTGTGGTCTCTGATGCCGAAGGAACAACACTCATCCTTGATCGCGGTAGAAACAGCACTGCATGAAGCAGTGCTGCGCTACAATGCCGGCTGCTGCAAAGCAACTCAAGTGATATCGGACTCCATTGGACTTCAACCAGGTCATCTGGCCATCCAGCGAGCTCGTGAAAAAGACGCTTTACGCCTAAAAAGAATTCTAAAAGACACCAAGAGAAGATGGAGGCCAGGCAAAAGAAGAAAAGAGTGCGCCAGGACACTTCTAGCTACTGTGCTGGAGCTTTTTGAAGAAAACACGTGTTTTGAACTTTCTCGGCCTGTTTTCTCGGAACGAATTTTTTCGCTAGTTGTGGTGCTGAGGAAAGCAAGAACTCGAAAACCGTTCATCAGATTTGTGTGCCGTTTGTTTTTATTCTGTTCCTGAATGACCCTGCAAGGGCGTAACAAGCTCCTTTTTTTTGAAAATTGGTGCTGTTAATTTATAATAAACATTTAATTTTTGATGAATCTGGTCATTACTGGTTACATCAAATTCAAAGTTGCGTGAAAATTTTTGGGGGGGGGGGGGGGAATTAAAAAAAACGGCTTTGTAGCGCCCTGGGATAGCTATCAAGGAATGACCACAATGAATTTCAGCTTTCTACTATGTCCTGGGATTTCTCACGACTCTTCCTCAGGCACTTATGTGAAGCACCCAGTTAAACCTCAATAACTCTGGAACTAAGAAACACAGCTTCGTGAAACTTAGCAGTTGTGCTAGTTTTATTGTAGTGAACAACCCCTGAAAGTTTCATCCAGATATCTTAAAAAATAAAAAAATTCGGTCTGCCCCCTTAAGTGACGTGTGAGTAGGGGGTAGCCTCCCCCCTTAAGTGACGTGTGAGTACAGCACACCATTCCCAATAACCGTTTGCCATCGTTGCCGCGGGAGCAAAATTGAATTGGCAGCGCCACTAGTTCTCGCGACCACCACCTGGCCCTCCTCTTTGGCAGAGCTTTCAAACTGATTTTATTCTAGTAATGTTGCTCGCACTCGCATGGATGCGTCGGCGTAGGGCGCAAAGCCGAAGAGCTGCCTTCGCTCTAGTAGACTACACTGTAGTTCGGGTAGGTCGGGGTGGGGATGGCGTCGTAGTCCAAACAGTATGATACTTTGAACTACAACCAACTAAGGCTCAAAAACATTTCTGTTTCGCCATGTTTAATTGACAACTTCATTGGCTATCATAAAGTGACGTCAGCTGCGCAGTTGATGGGAACGAGATCTGGGAAAACGAAATTGCACTTTTTCATGTATTTGGTGAGCTCAGATGATCAAACGAGTTGAGGTATGGTAATAAATGGGCTGCCAGGAGGACTCTGAATACGCACGTTGTTTGAAATTTTCAGGAAACGTTTCGGGGTGTTTGTGGTGATACGAATTTCGAATGATAAGAATATCTTTCCTAACCCGGCGAGATTAGTGTCACGGAAGTTTCACTGTAGTGAACTACACCATTAACGTTGCTGTGGTTTTGCTATTGCTTCTGTGACGTGTACATCTCATAGTCAACTTAGCCAGTGTAAAATTATGTTGTAATTGGCATTTATGTGTACAAAATTTATTCGTGAGCTTATGTTGACGTTCTGTGCAGAGGTGGCCAAGAAAGAAGACGATGCTGCCGAGCCGATGGAACAGGGTGACGAGGCCGAGGAGTCCGAAAACAAGGTCAAAACACCAGCTGCCGTCGCAGCAGAGTCCCAGGATGCCGCAAAGCCGGCGGAGAAGGAGAAGGGTGAGTTTGGTATGGGGGGATATTAAGCCGAGAGACGCGGGACAAACGGTGCACAGTGTTATCTGAACCGTTTGCTTAGTTATTTTCATTTTTCATGAACCTTGTTTTCAGAGAAAGCATGCATAAAAAATGTACTTGTGACACGTCAAAATAGGAAACAAATTGAGCCGTCAATTCATGTGCCCTTCTCCCTCACACGCTTCACATTTTGCAGGAGCTGCGTTCAGCAGTCCTGTAAAGAGTGGCTCTGACAAACCGGGTGCTGAAGCACATAGCCCCGAAAAAGCTGTGTCTGAAAAGCCAACTCCGGAGAAACAAAGCCCCGAAAAAACATCCTCAGAAAAGCAGAATGCTGAAAAGGCTAGTCCGGAAAAGGTCAGCCCCGTGAAACCAAGTCACGAAAAGCTGAGTGTTGAAAAGCAGAGCATTGAAAAGCCAAGTCCCGAAAAGATGAGCCCTGCAAAATTGAGTGTTGAGAAGCAAAGCGTAGAGAAATCAAGCCCTGAGAAGTCAAGCTCCGAAAGGCCAGAACTGCCAAGTGTGGCGAAACCAGCTATGGAGAAGGTTACTCCAGAGAAGGCTACTCCAGAGAAGGCTACTCCAGAGAAGGCTACTTCAGAGAAGGCTACTCCAGAGAAGGCAACTCCAGAGAAGGCAACTCCAGAGAAGGCAACCTCAGAGAAGGCAACCTCAGAGAAGGCAACCTCAGAGAAGGCAACCTCAGAGAAGGCAACTCCAGAGAAGGCTACTCCAGAGAAGGCTACTCCAGAGAAGGCTACTCCAGAGAAGGCTACTCCAGAGAAGGCTACACCAGATAAGGCAACTCCAGAGAAGACAACTCCAGAGAAGGTGAGCACTGAAAAACCGACATCTGAAGCGCCAAGTCCTGTAAAGCCAAGCCCAGTGAAGCCAGCTGCTGAAAAACCAAGCCTCGAAAAGCCAAGTTCCGAGAAGCCAAGTGTCGTGAAGCCTAGCCCCGAGCGACCAAGTGTTGAGAAACCAAGCCCCGAGAAGATCAGCATCCAAAGTCAACGCCAGAAAAACCCCCCATCCCTGAAAACCTGAGCCCCATCAAGGTACCTACGCCCGTCAAGCAGGATACTGAGAAGCCGAGCCCCGTCAGGCCTGTTTACGAAAGGACTCCACTTCCGAAACCGAGTCCCGAGAAGCTCAGCTCCGAAAAGCAGCCAAGCTTTGAAAACAAGTCCGGCGCCACAAACTTGAGCACCGCCAATGCGGCAAGTCTTGAGAAGGCGGCCCCCAGCCCTGAGAAACACAGTGGTGCGCCAGTGAGAAGTGCGGACATGACGACAGTGCCAGCGGAAACCACCAGGGTCCACGTGCCACCAGTGTCCGTGACGATTCCTCCGCCCCAGACTCCACCTGCGCCTAAACCGACGGCGCCGCCTCCCCCCGCGCAAGCCGTTGCAACACCTACAGTGGGACTAGGCCTGCCCAAGGAGAATGGTGATGTGGGATCAGAACATGGGGTGTTTTCGGTGTCTTGGCTGGACCTGGTGTCTGATCCGAATGCGGAACGAGCCCTGCGCCAAGCGCGAGACGTGGACGTGCTGGCGCTGCAAGGAGTGGAGCCGGGGCACTGGGGTGTCCTGACAGCCCAGCTGCCCGAGGGATGCGAGCTGCTGAAGGGTACCGGGCTGGCGCTGGTAGTGCGACGGTCGGCGTTCCGGGTGGTCGAGCACAGCAGTCACACCTTGCAAAGCTTGATCGCCAAAGTGAGTGATGCCTGCCATTTTTTTTTTTGCGCCTGTCTAAGGAATAGCCCCGTGTTTCACACTCATGTGGTCCCTGGTGTGTTCACATCCTGTGCACCCATTGTGAGTTGAATTCTCTTGGCCGTTTTCTCTGTAGCAATATCATTTCCCTCTGCCATCCTTACTAAGCAGGTGTAGATTGAGACTTCTGGTGGTCCGAATTCCGGAGCCCTCCACTACGGCGTCTCTCGTAACCATATGATGGTTTTGGGACGTTAAATCCCACATATTAATCAATCGACTTCTGAAGCACTTTCTTTTCTGCTTGTACTGAGACTTTTACAGTGATGCAGCACTGACCGCAGCCTTGAGTGTCTGCTTATAACTACTAAATGTTATTGCAATCTTTGCAAAGAGTCGGAATACTTTCTACAATTGGTGGGTTTACTTGTACTCTCTACAGAAAAGCTCACCATTCTTATTTGCCGTGAGAATATGGTTTTGGAAAAAGGGGAGTGCATTGGCATTGTGATATTTCGACCATTAAAAATTGGGTGTGTTCCACCCAGCTTTATTCCAGTAGCTAGAGCGTACTAGAATGGGGAAGGGGGTCTAGCAGAGTTGGTGGCTGACAGACTGCCAGCAGACGTGGCACTTGCATAGGTAACAACTTATGGCAGCTGTATTCATGGCAACATAGCCTAGTCTGCCATTGAAGATGATAGTAGCATTTTCAGGATATTAATTTTTAAAAAATCTGTGCTGCTCCGCTTTTGTGAAAATTGAAACCAGTAGGTGTTGCCGCATGTCCTGTGGCAGCAGCTTCACGCCGTTTTTGCACTCTGTGGTCCTCTATTACTATGCATATCCGCCTCTGAGCTCATATGCATGCGACATAGAGCACCAACAGTGAATCGGGGAAACGAAACAATGATCGTGCCAGTGATCAGCCAGCACAGCCACAAAGAAACAGGTGACTGAAATTGTATGTTGTTAAAAGTGCCATTGAGTTGCATAGAAATAAACAAGTAAAAACCACATTGAAAGCATATGATTTCACAGTGCCTCCTTTCACCAATGATCATCATGTAGAAGTGTTTCAAAGAAATGAACTGACAAGCAAGCATGCGGAATCACCATACACTTTGAGTAAAGCTAGGAAGCAAATGTTAAGTTCTAGCCACTCTATACAGTAGAACTCCGCTACAATGAATGCCGCTTCAACGAAATTTTCGCTACAATGAAAAATTCATGATTCCCTGTCAGCAGTCCATAGGAGTCAATGCATAAATATTGTCGCCAACGAACACTTTTTCTTTTGTCGTCCCACTTCAACGAAATTTCACAATGCAATGCCAGGCTCAGATACTTATTGCTATGCAGTAAGCCCATTCTTTAACATCTCGATGCATTTTTAGAGCCTGAAAATGCGTGAACAAAGTCTAAAACACGCGTTGGCACCACCAGAAACCGCCGCTGTTTAGCAAGCATAGGCGCCGCCATTGCTTGATAGCGATGGGAATGAAACTGCCCTGCTCATGGAAGGCCCTGTTTTCGCCACTGGCTTGCTTTCGAGCCACAGACAATCCGAAGCTGAAGCTCAGACGCTCAGTTCAAGGTTTCCTTCATGCATCGGCTGATGCACAGAGCCTTCCTCCATGGCTAGGTGCAACTGCGGAAGGATGCCTTTTCAGATTTCGATGCTTCTCGTTATGTTTGTGCTTGGCCATCGTGGTAACTAATCAAAGTGGCTGTTCGTCCACATCATCAACAAAGTCAGCTAGCCGAGAGTGATGAATGATAAGAATGGCATAAAATAAGGCAAAAGTCTCCGCTCCACGATACCCTGCCTCCGTTTTGGGGTTGTCAGATACACTTTGACAGCGGACAGCTGCTGCTGTTAACGTGTTAATGCAAGTGTTTGGTTCGTTCATGAAGGTGGTTTTAGGCGTTGTTTCAGCGTGCTTTTCACCATGGCCTTGCTATGCATGGGTGAGAATCACATAGTGACGCTGCTCGGAAAGAATAGGAAGCAGCGCACGCTTTTTGAGTTTTGAAAATAAATGCTCCTTTGTTTTGCTAGCTCAGATCAGCTATATTTTTTTTATTTTACAACAACGAAATTTTTCCCGTGCCCTGTCAGTTTCGTTGGAGCGGGATTCGACTGTAGTGTCACGGTTTTTTTTTCTTTGTGTTGTTACTGGCAGTACATGTTTCAATTTAAGTTACGAATAAGCCCCCTAACTTGGAATGTTCAAATTTGTTATGAATAGCTTGACCTACGATTGTGCAAACATTGTTAGACTGTCCTGCTAAGTTCAGGATCGTTAACAACCCTGTTGCAAGACTGCACTAGTTGTTTTTGTGTGAGGGTGTCGAACTTGCTAATTATGTCGTGCTTTGCAAATTGCAGGATCTGGAATCCCTGGACGAAGCAGATCGGGAAGCGGTACGGAACCACTTGAGGCTGACGCCCGATGGCCACCTGCTCACAGTGCGCCTTCAGCCATTGCTCAGCGGCCAGCCGACAGTGGACAGTCAGCGGTACCTTGTGGTGGCCAATGCAGCGCTCAGTCCTGCATCACCCAGCGTGAATGCACTGCAGGTGAGCACTTCGTCAATGTGAGCTGCGAGGAGGGGGTCTCAAAGCAGGTGATATGGGTTTTAGATGCGGAGCATCTAATACTCGAGGCTTGTAGTGCGGCGCCGTCCGCAAGCTTCCTCCTCCTTCTTCCACCATCTGTGCATCCCTTCCTCCTCTACACACCGCGCGCGCTTCACTCCTCCACCATCTGTGCACCCTTCCTCCTCTACACACCGCGTGCGCTTCTCCTCTTCACGAACATTCGCTAGCTGTATAATGTAGCGCGCATGCGCCGTCACGCTTCGAGAACATCGGCAGCTGACGCGCGCGCATGCGCCGTCGCGCTTCGAAAACATCGGCAGCTGACGCGCGCGCATGCGCCGTTGCGCTTCTCCCCCTTCTCGAACATTCCACACCTGACAGTGCATGCGCCGTTGCGCTGTATATATACTCAAGGTCGGTGCTCGCTCGCTCAGTTGCCGCTCGTCGGTTGGTTTATACGGCGCGTCGACGTCCGAGGTCGCAATGATCGACGTCCCTTCGACCAGCGCCGGCCAAAGTGTTGGCGGAACCGCAACCAAGTCGTCGTCCGAAGACAAGGCAGCGCGGAGAAGAGCTCGCGACGCCGAACGTATACGTCGGCGTCGAGTGGAAGATTCTCAACTTAGAGAACGTGAAGCCGCTGAGAGACATCAGCGTCGAGCAGCAGCACCGGATTCGGCCGCTTTAAAACGTAAGCGTCGACAAGAGGACCCGGACTTTCGAAAACGGGAAGCCGAGTGGAAGCGTCGGCGACGAGAGGCCGATCCCGATGCTGCCCGCGAGCGCAAGCGTGCCGTGGTAGCGGCGTGGCGCGCCAAGCAGTATGCCACGCCCAATTAACACCCCGTTAACCAATTATATGCTCCGCATCCTCCTCAGTGTTCCCCCGAGGGAAGCTGCGGGCAATTTTTTTTGCTTGTTGCATAAACTGCGCCTAGAGGTGCAACCTGCTTTAGGCAAGACTCGCTCTTGGTAGGTGTTGACATGTCAGGGGAGTCAGGCGACTGAGCTCCAGGACAGGGTTTGAATTCCCGGCCACAGCGGCCAAATTTGAGCTGGGACGAAATGCTAACACCAGAATAGCCTCTGTAATGATTGCCATTATTATTCTTTTTCAGTTAGTCGAAAATTGTACTATGAACCAAACTGTTATGTAGCACATTTTGTTTTTTCCCTCTCTCTTCTTTCAAATACAATGAATTTATGTATGGTTAGTGTATAGATGAAAGTTTTGTGTGTTTTTATATCATTGAAGCCAAAGTAGAGCGAGGCATTTATGGATAAGAACACTCCCAGACGTTCCCCGCAGTTGTTGGTGAGCATGCGCCGACCTATGCTCCCATTGGGTTTGAAGTTTGAAGTCTATTGTAACGTCATGAAAATACAATTGAGATGGTTACTAAGTATACACGAGGATGTCCCCAAATAAACACTCTCAGGGGAAGCTCCTAGCAATATTGTATTAATTGAATACAGGGCAGGCAGATTGCGAGCAAAAGAAAAAACGTACTGAAAACACTAAGTTGAAAGATATAAAAGTTGAAAAATTTAAAAGAAGCTGGGAACTTAATTTCAAAACAAGAAATACTACAATAGTACAAAAAGCAAAATAATGATTCATAATAAAACAAATGGATGTAAATTTCATGTAGACAAGGCATGAAACAATTTACACAGCACAAGCAAGACAGAGAACATGAAATGCAAGTGCTATAAAAATGGTAAAGGAAAATGAAAGAAAGAAAAACAAATGACTGAAGGTGGTATCATAAAGTGTTAGCAAAGATGTTGAAATTGATTATGTTACATCGCGGCTGCTTTTAATCAACATAGGTAGTAAGTCGAAAGGTAAATACCAGAAAAAAGCACTGTCTCGCTGAGATAGCACACACGCCAGCGCCCTTAAAATTAAAGTTCACCAATGCTCCTCAAGCCCCCCCCCCAGCCAACGTTTTTTCGTGGTCGTTCGTTCAATAAGGGTGGTTTGCTTTCTATTTGAGCATTCGAAGGCAGTTCTATCATGCGGGGGGCTGTAAACTCTCCATACCTTCGGAAAAGTACCACATTCGTTTGATCTGCGCCGCTTCCTCCTCTCCCTGCCGGAGCTTTTTGTCTCTTCGCATACTTGCCAAGTCTCCCGGATTGGCTGAGAGACTACCGGATTTGGACCGTTTCTGCCGTTTCTACGGTTGTCATGAAAATCTCCTGGAAATCGAAATTTCTGTGCGTGATCTGGCCGCATCGGCAAAAAAGCGATTGAATCCGCTCGAGGCTTTTTGAACCTACTCCATTTTATTATGAATGAGTTTAAGAGGCCTTCATCTAAAGGTAAAGTAGAATCTCAATGATGAGAAACCACGGCGGATATGAATTGGTGAAATAACCCAGCCAAATTCCACTATATGTCTATTGAGCCTCAATTCGAATGTTCCGAACACATTTCCTAATCGAAGCGGGTGACACGAACTTTACGGAAACCGTTGAACTAAGGCCGAGAGCAGCGTACTCGAAGCTTCAAAACTACGCGTGCGATTGGCGCACGCACTGCCTTCTACAGTGCGTGTGATTGTCGTTGCCACAACCGCTGTGGACGAAACTGCAGTCGCCCTTGACGCAATCATGTATGGTGACGACGTAACTGGCAGATGCGATCGTGGATGGCATAAAAGGAGTAAGTTTTAAGGCACGTGCGCAGCCAAGCGCACGGGTACTGTAAAAGGAATTACCGTATTCCGGAACCGCCGCACACAAGACCGCTGTCGCAGTGTCGCTATAGCGATCTACGAGCTCCGAGGGCACCCAGAGGTAGATTAAAGGCAGTAATTACGTAAAAAAAAAAGTCACAGTTTCGCCACAAAGGCAAAACAATGAATGCGAGAGCAATACCTTGGGATGTCACGCTGAGAACGGCAAGCAGATAGAACGGTGCAACGGGCTGCTCAAGCACAAATGACACACGAAAACGATACACACAGGACGAGAGTGATTTAACAATGTTTACCGCTCCACACGTAACGCGCTGTTCAAACAAAAACGATGCACGCTACATAATCACAGGTACGGGTGAGTGCAAACTATTAAGTGTCCCAGTTATACTTCGCTGTGTATGAAAAGCGCACTCCTTTTTCAAACAGGCCTGAGCAGAGACCGAAGTGACCTTTGTGGGTCCGACAACTAACGCAATCGTTGCAGTGAAAGCCGAAGGCACACGATTCTCCCCACCAAAGGATAAGCACGCGCGCACACAAGCATCTACCCCCCCCCCCCCCCATTCACCCACCCAACCGCGGGGCAAAGTACGCTTGAGAGAGTACGCGTGAAGTGCCCATGTCATCATGATGAGATGTGGGCGCTGAGCGCGGGCGATTTTTTTCTTTCTTGAGTGTTCATATATATGTATATAGATACGTGTACATATACATATACGGTGAATGACGGTGGTGGCGGCGACGGCAAAAAGAAACAGCCTTGAGTGTCCATATAATTGTTATCGCAATAAAAAGGGGTCAGGTGCATTATCGTGTTCCTGTCAGAAGAATATATTAATGAGCAAAGCTTTGACCCGCGCTTTTGCAGCAGCCAGCTGCGCCGTCCCATTCGTTCACGGGTGTCCCAGGAAGACATACGCGAGTGTTTTTAAAGGAAATCGATTCTGCAAATTGTGTTGTTTCTTTGAGACTCTCACATTAGTAGGAAAGCCCACTCTCGGGTGTTCGGCCACTCCAAGCCACTATAAGACTGCAACACTAATGTTGCCACTTGCGATTGAGACCCTTTCCCCCCACACACCCTCTTGTTTTTCGCGATGTTTTTTGTTCGTTTGTTTGACCATGTTTCTTTTTTTTTTTTTTTGTGCCGAAAAAAATAGTGGCAAATAAATTGTACACGCCCTCTAGGCAATAGAGATAGGCCGGTTCATATGATCTCTGCTTCAGCAGTGCTCGTGCGCTTTTACGTGCTCATTAAAAAGTTACGATTAGAGGGGCATGTTATCAATTTGGACTTCTTGCGGACGGGGAATATTGTGGCGATGACAAAAACCCATTGAGAGTGTCTATATAATTGTTATTGCATATTGCGGTTTTTTACCGCTAAGTAATTGTTTATGGTTAGCTTTTTCTTCAGTTCTGCTTTTGTTTAATTTGTGCGTTAGTGTTTTTTAATTTTTCTACTGAACCTGCATATAACGAAATCTTCTTTTTGGGAACGTGTCAATATCATTTTATTCAGCTTTAATTGTATCCGAAAATTTGTTCTAAAAGTATGCATTTAAGGGGAGACACGGGTATGGGAGGCCGAAAATTTTCCGAAAAACTGATTTCTTGAAGTACTTTTTTTTTCATAATCATTAAGGTCTAAGGAAGCTGTTCCTAAAATATTATAGCCCTGTAATGCGTATTTGTCGAGTTATTGGGTCACAAAGTCAGTTTGAAGACCATTTTCGCTTCCGAAACCACCTCAAAAACGGTCCTATTCAACGCCGCAGCGCGCGAGAACCGCATCATGTAGCGCGGCCATTTTGGTCTCATTTTAAAGACGCATTTTTCTGTTATCTGTTCCTAGCAGAAGAACGTTTTTCGTCTAGCAACAACGCAGCTATCGCGCATAAAGAAAAACTGAATACTCGCACATCATTGGTGCGTTTTTGTCACGTGGGGCAGTTCCCGGTTTCCTTTTGGACTGAAGGGATTCGTCTGCTAGACAGCGGCGTGCAAGCCGCCATTTTGCGTAGAGGCCTAACAACGGCTGTGCATTTGTGCAATGGCAGGCGGTCATCGGAAGTTCGGGAGTGCTCATGCGTTCGGAAAAAGGCGAACACGGCGTCCGAGAGCCCGCACCTTATCACCAGCGAGACCTTCTGCCGCCGAGAACTCTGAAGAAGCAGGCTGTGCCAGCGCTAACACTGCCGCGGCACCCGCGATCGTGGACGCGATAGCCGCGTCCCAAGATCACATGAGAGCTGTGCGCGTCGACGCTCC